ACGAGCCCTCGTCTCAAGTTTGAGACAGTGAAGGCTCCGCCGCTGCTTTGCCGTGAGGGTGAATGGCATGGCCTTGGCACGCGGTGGAATCGGTATTGTGTTTCAAAAGGGGAGTTGAGGCTGGTTCGTGATCAGCGAACACCAAATCTATAGAAGTTCAGTCGATGCTCCATGGAGAGCTTTGGAATCCTCTTTGTATATACTGCGTGATAACTTATCCACGTTTCTCCACAGATAGAAGTGTTTGGAGTGATTGAAGTTTTTAGCTTTTAGCTTTCCAAATTTGGATGACCCCAACCACCCAAATGAATGGTGAAAGACTAGGTCGACTCAAAGGCTGCCTCCCGGTTCATACACTGATCCTTGCACTTTTCTTCGCGCGGGCTGAATGCTGACCCGCCTTCCGAGGCTGAACTCTGGAGCTGAATCGATCCACCCTTTTGGATTGAGGACCGAAGCGCATTGGGCGGGCTTTCATGTGATTGGAAACAGCGGACGTTTGCAGACTGTTGATTGCATGTAGACAAAATCCCATTGCGCCACTTGCTGCTCACATTTGGTGTGGTTTGAAGATTTGAAAAGCACAGCCAATTTACGCATGCAGATCGATCTATAAGTTTTGATCGTATATAAGTAGATCGTACAAAAGGAAATTCTGTAGCAGAAACACTTTCCACACTCCATTGTCCATTGCTCTAAGCTTGTGGAACTTGTGTGCTGCCCCCGCTCCCACTTTTAAATGTATTGAACGCTGCACACCGCACAAGCATGCAATGGCTATAGAGCATGGCTTTCCACACCACACATGTTAATTGTTCATCATTGCTCATCCATTTTTTGGATTTCCGCAAGACTTCAGAAAAGTATTGATCGCTTTCCTACCAGCTGCTTTGATCGATTCCTTCATGGCTTCAACAGCATCATTCGCCTGCAAACTCACCTTAGAGTGTGGATTCTCGGCCTGGTACTGGTGCACAAAGCGTACCTTAGTCGTTGAAGCATGCATTCATTCGAATTGAATGAATGCCCCGGGGACGACCATGAGTACATGAGAAACCACCACAACCGAATTCACATGTATCCAAATCGTGTGGGGTGTGCAAAACGAATTTGACCATCAAACAAGTTTGTGCACAGCAGATTGCATTCAATGCTCATGCATACAGAGATCGACCTGTATGCAAGAAAGTTGCCAAAAGTTCTGCTGCTTTGATTGCTGCCGCGATAGCATAGATCCAATTGTCGCAGCAGACTTTGAAACCAAAAAATCCATAGTCTAGTCCCTCTGACTTTGAAGTCACTCCAACCCCTACGCCTTTCACACCTCTACGGACCCAATAGATGTTCAACTTGCTGTCGTACCCAAGTGCGGTGAAATCAGGCACCAACTTTCTGAGTTCCTCTCGTGCATTATCTTCTGTCAGGTCCTTTGAAAAATTCAGGACTCCCAGCACTTCCTGTTTTAGTTCCTTGCTTGTTTCCGGTGCCGGTGGCAATGGCTCTGGCTTAGCCACATTCTCCTTTCGCTTTCGCTGTTTCTTGTCTTGGGGGGCTGTCTCAGAAGCAGCTTTGCTTTCTGAGTTCTTCCGCTTCGATTTCTTGGGCGGGGACTGGGCAGAACATGCGGCTGGTACTGGCTTCCTAGCCCGTTTTGGAACTTGGTCCTTGGGCCTGGCACATTCCTGGTCCCACTCCCACTCTGCCCACTCTTCTGGTGACCACTGACCCCACGAATTGCCGTTGCCATCCCACCAGCCACTCCAATTTTCCCAGGCTTCATGAGAATCCTTGCCCTTCGACCTTTTCCTTGACACCTTCTCCTTTTCCACCTCCTGTTTCTGAGATTGGTTGTTCCTCCCTCGTCCTCTTCCTCGCCCCTTTCCGCGCCCGCGTCCACCGCCTCGTCCCCTGCCTTCTGGGTCTTCTCCTTTCCGCTCCATCTGACTCTTCCGGGTCACTGAAGGTTTTTGAGGCTCCTGCCAGGATCAAGGCCAAATTAATCCAGATGATAGGTTTGAGGATGTTTGAGGATATGCAGGCGAACAGTTTTTGATTGCGCATCACTTTGAGAATTGGTCACTGAGAAGTTGAACGGGTTGATCAATGTGCAATTGAAACATTTAATAGTATGGCCGGGGCCGTCAATCGTGCGCATTCAGATTTAGATCAATTGATCATGAACACTTGAAATTATATATTTAAAATGTAAGTGCAAGTTGAATCATGTTGAATGCAGTGTGCTGTGCCCGTTCCTCGCCTCGGCTTCACTGGCTGTGAATACCTCTTCAGCATTGTTGGGCAACTCCTTTTCGGCGCTCATGGTGGAGTTTGTTTCTTTCTGTTTCAGCTCTACCTTCGGACCAGAAGGATGTTCATCCGAAGGATGACCACCATCCGCCACATATTGTGGTGTCTCCTCAACATCATTCTTCACAATGTTTGTTTTCTCTTGAAACTGCTGTCGTTTGACCTCTGCACAATGCTTGGGTGACAGACTTTGACTAAGTTCTTGTGGAGTAGCAGCCATTGCGACGTCAAATGGCAGAGTGTCTTGATTGTCCCCGGCAACTGGAACCGGGCCTGCACACAAGCTTTCAGAATCTTTCAGATTAAACAACTAACTGGCACATCCAAACATCGGCGTACATATCGTGGGCGTGCCCATGTCTTCACAAAAAAAACATGCATGCAGTATATATATATATAATTCACCAGTGGTGTGATAAAGCGTGTCATTTAACCATGCAGTCAGCGAGAAAAGCACTCCCAGATAAACAGCTGGTTTGGCTCCTGCTTGACCAGAAACAGGAGGCGATGCAAGGACACCTGATTGCACAGCCAAGCCCTCTGTTGGTGCGCCCTTTTGTGCCTGGATCCTGGGCGAACGGTGGATGTATACAACGGGGCCATACAAGCACCATAAACCTGTGATTCAAGAGAAATATGTTCCCAGCTAACTCAGCGTTGACACACCATATATACATGCATAAGTACATGCATATACGCGTGCGCGATCTTATTGCTGTCCAAACACTCAGCCAATTTGGCCCTGAGAGCTGCTCGCTTGTCCATCAACTCCTGTTTACCTTGCGTCGGGAACAGGTTGCAAAACATAAATGCACAGGGCTGAAACAGGTCAATGCGCTGGTAAGCATGAAAACAATATAACTTTTATGGCGCAAACGCGTCCGGGGCACGAGCTTCATCACTTGCGAGGTTTCCAGTAGCAGAACCTGCTTTGGGTGTATCCTCCGTTGAACTTGGTGGTACTGCTGATACTTCTGGGCTGGTCCCCGCGTTGCTGTTCTGACCTGGTGCTGCTGGCTGTTCAGCAGATGGCTGCTTGGTTTGCGGTGGGCTCGATGCTTTCGGGGTGGGATCCTCCATCTCCTGAAACTTTGTTTCCTGTGGTTTCTCCTCAATGGTGTCACCATCGCCCTCAATCCGCTTTGAACCCTTGCCCTCACCATCCGGTTGTCCCTGTTGTCCGGGATTGGTTTCCATGAATGCGTCATCTTCCTTTACATCATTTTCTCCTTCCTCGTCCCACTCATCTTCACCTTCCTCCTCAACCTCCTGAAGAGAGTTTGGAAATATCGAAGTATATAGAAGATTTAAGTTCTTGAAAAGTTTGAGAGATACTATGACCAAACTGAGTCCAATATACTTGCAGTTAATATTGAATGTGCACATGGACATAGGAGACACGTGCATTGCTCACAGGAGTTAACTGACATGACAATCTGCAATTCAGGAGATCGTTGCAGAACACACAAACAAGGTTTGCGTGACCACGTGCGTATATATGTTTGATCGGTGGAGGCATTGCGTCCTGCAAAAATATCATATTGCATGAATGGCATGTCCTCCTTGGAAGCCCGTCTTTGTTGGACCCTCTCGTTGACGTTGTCCACTGTCATCTGCGCCGGATGCGCGGGTCACATCAAACCCCCAATGCCCAGCACGAGTGATGATCGATATATATATATATACACAGATTCACGCTCTGTCTGTGCAGTCTTTATAATGGCTATATACGTGCTTGACATCCGCTCAATATATGAAAGACAAGGCCCAAGCCTGCAACATAGGGTTCAGGATGAGGCACAAGCCCTGGAAAGTTTCAACCTGAGAAATGGTTGCATGCCCACAAGGGTGCTTGCATGTCAAGACACTTCACATCACTTCACCTTTGATAGTAACACATCACATGTTTTGAAACATATACGCGAGCGAAATGAATCGAAATGATCTTGGTGTGCAACTGCAGGTTTTTGATGATGAAAGTTCGTCAAGTAACGGTGCTCACTTCTCCTCGACGTGCTTTCATTTTCACGAATCCCAACAGCTTCTTCAGCCGCCAGCTAGCTTTGATCACGGCATCGAGTTCTTCCGGAGCATTTGCTGGGGACCTCTTGTTTTTGGTCATGAGTTTATCGATCTCCACACGTAGCGGGTCCACCGGCGCGAGTGGCTTTGTTTCCGTTGGGGCCATTCTGGTGAGAATGGGAACCAAAAGGTCTGCATTTTTGCAGCATCCCTGAACATCATCAGTGGTGCCGTCAGGGTGAAAGAATGAGCCTCCCCCCCGCAATCTATTTCGAAGCTCCTCGCATTGGTCCCACTCCTCAGCGATGCCCTCCACATCCAAAGTCTCAAGATCGCGCGATGCTGGACGCTTTCGAGAGGGGTACGGCATGGGGCCTAGATCGATCAAGACTGGCAACTACTTGCGCTGCACATGTAGCTGCGGAACGAGACGCATGCTTTCACAGCCCAGTGCACTCACACCACAACTCACACCTCAAGATTATTGGGAGGAACGAATCCATGCCAATCCATGGGTCCAATTAAGAAACATTAAGAATTATAAACGCACGCTTGCAGTTAAACATGTTCAGAATTTCTGCTTCTCTTCATTTGTGCTGATATGCTTGCGTTGCCCCAGGACCCAATCATTGAGATCCAGACTGAATCACTGGCTTTGGCCCGCCAAAACCATGGAGAAAAGTGGCCATGAATGCGGCTGCAGCGGGGTGAGGTGTACAATGTAAAGGTGTAAAGATCGGGAATCCCGTCAACTTTGTTGCAGCCAGCATTTGTTGCCCTGTGTCACGTCTTATATTTGCATGCTCATACTAGTATGTCCTAAAGTTCGATATCGTATGTTGACAATTTTGAAATGTTGTGTTGCCTATTGGAGGCATGTCTGTTGGGACCTGCCTTCAAGCTTCCCAAACCTTGTTGGGCATGAGCCACTGCCTGAGAGACAGCACGAGGAGGTGTTTGGGGAATGGCTTGGGTCCAAACCCTGGGTTTCCCACAAGAACCCGATGTTTGCCTGTGAACTCACGCATACCCGAGGTATGAATTCAGACCCTACAAATTTCCAGGGTTCAGGCTTGCAGGGTAGTTATACCTATATTGGTGATTGCCCTATCTGCTTTTCTGTGGCCATCGAACGAACATCACTCACCGCTTGGCAGATTGGACCCCACCAGCCTGGCACCGCCACACTACCCGATGCTCGGCGGCCGACTACATCGACGCGTCGACCTGATTTTCGGGATCAGAGACCTGAGCCGATGGAGCCGATGGAGGAGCATGGGTGGACAAAACCTGTCAAGACCATATCCTTTTTTCAGACAGATCTGGGATCAACCAACCAAAATCCAGTTCATTTTGGATCCTTGAGGTTTGAGAGGACAAGACATGACAAGGCTGTTGAAGATGGAAAGCGACCGGCAAGGGCTGGGACCCAGACCATGCATGAGACTGGCCTATTCGCTGATCACTTGGGGTGGTTGAAAAGGGGTCAATCTAGGCCCTGGAACTCCAGTCGACCGTTTAAAGAATTCTAAGGATGTCCCTAAATGTCCGGAGGAGGCACTTCCTTTACTTCGGTGGTGCCAAATATACCTTCCCTCCATTTATGGAGGTGTGATTTCGGCCTGTTTTTAGAGGAGAACGGTCTTCCTTGACAGAGGTTTTTCAGGACCCTAGATATCGACTCTCCCATATGGGCCCCCCACCGTTGCCCTTTGTCACCAGGTCTCAAGAAAACCTCTCTTGGAGTCGAATAGGATCATTTGGACTGTGTGGACACCAGGGGCCACGGGTGAGAAAAAATGGTCATCAAGCACTCCCCGACACGATGTGTCGTGGGACTGGATCAGTGGTTTGAAGATGTCGATGTACAGGTGGTATACATTCCGTACATGGAGTGTCTGGGATATTATAGATCAGGCAAAATTGGATCAACTATTCATGATTCCCAGGAACATTCTTCCTGAAAAGACACACACAGCGCCCAGGCATAGTATAGAACGGCCACCCTGCAGTTCCATCATGCAGTGTGTGCGTGTGTTTTGTGCGAAACAATTCGCTCAGGAATGAGTGCCGAATTCCTGAATGGGATGAACCCGATTATACCGAAGGCCGCGCGGCGGAGACCGGACCTTCTAAGACAAGAACGAAGAATGGTAGCAACGGCTAACAGTGAGATGGAGTTTTTGATCAAGCCTGCTCAGAATAGTAGTCGTTTTGCTCTTTGGGTGAATCAGTTTGTGACCTATTGAGTTTATTGAGGTGAACATGACTCAGTTTACTGAGCTGCATGCATGCAGATTCCTGTTTGTGAAGCCAAACTATAATGTCATCTATTCCTAGCACTTCCAAGCGGTCAATAGAGACCTATAGGTAGTGTGGGGTTGTCCATTGGTGTCCGCTGCTGGTTGTCGTACAACTTAGTCAAATCCGTTGCCTGAACATTTATGAATGGAAGTCCAGTCATTTCTCAGAGGCTGCATTCTTCGGTGGGAAGCACCACTTGGGGCTGAACACGTCAGACCTTGCTTGAACTTGCACTCATCCAAGTGGTCCAAGCACCAAGTTCCTTTTTGTCAAGAGATCCATTCTTTGTGGCCTAGTCAAGCGGCCAGAAGTGATCAGTGATCGGCTTTGGAAGTAGAAGCCTTCAAACCAAGAATTCCAATGACTAACGACTACACAATTTGGATGTTCATGCACAAACCTTTGGACGATCTTCACCGGATCGTCGCCAGTACGAAAACGATCGGCAGATGAGCAGATGACCAGAGAAACAGAGGTTGAAGGACCCTAGTTCGTCTATCCCATAGGTACCCCAGTAAGGTCCTATAAGGTCACTTAACCTCTCTTGGAAGTACAGAGAAACCACAAACAAACTCATAGACGCTCGGTGGATTTATTTTTGCGACAGGTGCATGCTATGCTGTGATCTGGCAATTCCTTCTGCGCCGCAGCAATGCGCAAGAGCAGCTTGTAACAGTTTGAACTTGTTTGGTGAACTTTTCTGTATGAGGAGACGACACTGCAATGGGGCTGGAAGATGCCATGAGGGTATTTGCAAAGGAGAAGATACGCATATTAATTTATTGTGATCAGGAGGGTCATTGTCATATTGGTATCTTCTAATCAGTATTTGTTGAAACTATTGCTTTCGTCTAATCAATGATTTGTTTCATTTCTGGTGGAGGCTTTTGGGTTTGGGTTTTGGATGTGTGTTTTCATCTCACAGGCTGTTTTTTTCAGCACAAAATACTGCGAAGTAAGCCAAATGCTAGGTATTTGCTTGGAATGTCAACACCTAAACTGAATCATCGAATCATCCACTGGGGATTGGGGCCAAGGATTTGGAGCACCAGTCCTCAGGGCACAGGTCAGACTTCTGAGTGAAACGTCGACGGTTCCACGTACCTCAGAAAATGGGTCCAAAGTCGTAGATGACCTGTTTTTTGGTACCCAGACTCACTCCATGTATGCCATATATGCTTATACATTGACCCCCAGTCAACCACCCCAACTGATTGGCAGTCCTATGGCTGTCCCATGGGTGTTTTGTCTGGGGTATATAGGGTCATGTCGCATGTTCTGAAGATACTTGAAGTCGGGTCAAGGGGTGAACTGTCCAAAGGAGATCTTCCAATGGGTGCCTTGTTGGTGCCCGCCTCTGGTCTCCGGTTTTTTGCAGCCATGCTGAGCTCCAAATCGATGCTTCTGCAACTCTGCTGCTCACCATTCTCGTTTAAGACAAGTCAGATGGCGCTGGCAACCCAAGAGGTCTTTTGGGATGAGGGGCCCCAATCGCTTTCATCGCCTGCTTGGAGATTGTCGTCTCATCATGTCCCCTACTCTGAAACCACGGTACTTGATATGGAATTTCTTGATGTCGGAGCACGGATCTGGGACCTGGCCCATGTTTTCCTTCGAGCCCTTGGGGAGTCGGGTCTCCCCGATTTCGGCACCCCATGTGGCACCCGAGGATGTGGCGCACAGAAGGCTTCTTGGAAGTCGGAGCAGTTGGAGAGGTGTGGCACAGGATCGGATCAATTGTGGATCACCTGCAGCTCACCGAACGAGAAGTGGGACACCGTCCGGTGATCCTAACAGGTGGTGTTGGTCCGGTGAACGAGGAAGGTACGACCAGGTCCAAGGAAGTGAGGTCGGAAGACGAGGAGTACGTTGGTCCCTTCGAAGTCGTCCATGTTTAGCAGATCGTGGCAAATGCTCCAGGTAGACCAACAAAGGGTCCCAAATCGTGGCTCCCTGAGCTCGCTCGGGCGCATGTCTTCGCTCGGTCGCTGCTCCTTCGATGAAAGCTCCCGCTTTACATTCACCTCTTCGACGCCACCGGCGCGGCGCCGCGGCCGCGGCGCGGCTCAGAGGCTTCGTGCATTTGCACATGGGCTTCGCCGGCAAAGCCTCGGGTCCCTGTACCGAAGCCTTTGGGCCGAGCTCGTCGTTTTGGACGCCGAGCTGGACCGTGGAGCCTTGGCCCGAGGAGCCAGGTGCCAGGTCCCAGAGGTGGACCATCAAAGGAATGGTAGACAGCTGCCCTTGTAGTGTAAAACCTTATAGAACATCAGGCCAGCGTCGCGAGACGTGAGACTCGGATGGCCAGAATGAAATGGACAAAAACAAAGAGCCTTAGAACCTGTTAGAACAACCATGAACATCCATCAAACCGGTTGTTGGAATCCTAGGGTTGGGGCCTTGACCAATGGCCATGCCTTTCTGCCACCGTGAACGTCGAACTGCCGGTCCCCGCGTACATCCGGTACCTCCGAGAAACGGTCACCTCGGACGTTGAGCGGGTCCGAGGTGATGAGAGGTGTTTTTTTTCCCCAGATAGGTTAAGATGACCTGTGCATTCTCTGCACACATGGCGTCTCCACCCGTGCAAAAAAACAAGAAATCCCAGATAGGTTGGGCTTTGTGGGGGGGTTCCTACTTCTCAATGATGTTTTTTGGGATGTGCAGATATAGTTACTAGTTGCTATAGTTGGGTCTTATGCCGCAATGTGCCAGTCTTGGGGTTTGCCAGTCATGAGCGGGCAGATGAGTGGACAGATGTCTGAAAAAACCATCCAAGCGACGTACCTATTTTCCGCTCTATAGACACATAGTGGTTTAGTATGGTTTAGTAAGGTTTAGCAAGGTTGTACTGTTCCTTCAATTCTTCAAGAATCAGTTCTTCTATTCATTAAACTTCCTGGAATCCAGGAGTGTAATTTTTTCTTCACTCAATGGTGGGGCGATCAAGTCCTCATCCCATGGTGGTGGGCCACTCGGTCGATGGTGCAGACCGAAGCCCCTTGACCCTCCTTCAAGTACGCTAGAACATGGGACCAGCAGTCACAAGACGGGGTGCCGGTTCCGAACGGAGGAAGGAAGGATAGGGGTCCCCCGACGTCACATCCGCCCCGACGGATGGGAACCAAACCATCTAGGCCCGACGGATGTGACTCCTGGGATAACCCACCCTTCTTGAAACCGACCTTCCACCCCTTCAAACCAGGTACCTACCGAACGTTGAGACACTCGAACGAACGGTACCCTTCCTCCTCCGGTACCGACCCCTTCCGACTCCGGTACCGACTCCTTCCGAGGGCCGAGTCCGGTCTTGACCCTATTGATGGGTCCAAGTGAGTAGAGAACGAAAAGAAGGTAATTGGAAAAAGAACACCTACATCAAAGTGTCGATGGCATCACTATATATGACGTATATATGAGTTTAATACAGTTTTTGCATGCACATGGAGTGTTCACACGGGCTGCGTAGTCATGCTTTGAGTCTCCGGTCTCCTCAAATTGGAGAAAATGCGCGCTGAAATGTGCAGGGGAAATGAGAACTCTACCTACTTGAGGAGTATCCTTATTACAGATCCTACTGCTGCTGCTGCTATTACCTACTTTCTCCCTTACACAATGATACACAATGGTGACTCTCCAAGTTTCTGATTGTTGCCGTTCTCTTCTCATCGAGACCAGTGCCCTCATGATTCAACTGTTACTTCAGAGTTGCCTTAGAATCTCACTGAACGTGCCTTGTGGACCGGGGTGTTTGCCGCAGGCATCCACAGGCTTTTGGAAAGCCCCACCAGAAACAGTTCTGGTTGGAACCCAATATGATGCCGCCAGCTTGAGTTTTACATCGGAGGCGGCTGGGACTGGGGAACATCCATTGTTTCTGGTTGAGACTGGGTTTCCAGGAGGCTTTTGGACAGTCAAACCCACACCGGCCCCTAAAAGCAGCTTTGCCGTCCAAGAGACCTTCACACTGGTCCAAGGATGCCGATGCTCGGGGTTTTGCGTTGACGTTCTGCCTTCTCCTCTTGCTCATTCCCGTTTCTCGGCCGGCAATTTGCGCGATGGGCGCCCGAGTGAAGAGGGTGGCGGGAAAGAGTTTTGTGCTCAGAGCTGATGCTCTCTCTATGGATCCACATACCCTTCCAGCAGAGGTGGGTCAGAACCCTAGTTCAACTATCCTACTTGGGTACCCCTGGTGACGGGTCCTATTTACGGTCACTTAACCTCTGTAGGTTTGAAAGGGTGATGTGTTCAACACTTGATTCGGCGCTCGAGTTCCGGTTCGATCCAGTCGAAGCGAGAAGATCGGGTCGGTTCGGTCGGTGACGGGTGGATCCGTAGATCTCCGTTCGGGTCGAAGTGGTGTTGGAGGAGCTTTGCTTGTAGAAGTCAGCTTCTTGCGCTGACTGAGTCGACTAAACCTTGCAGGTTTCCCCTGCTGGTGCATCAACATGTCAGCGCTGGACTCGGAAGCGAAAGAAACACCAGTGGAATGCCGTGGACCAGTTGGGTGTCAACTGGAATATTGATCTACATTCACCCTCAAGACATCCTAAAAAGGACGCCAACAACACTTCATTCCAAATAAAACAAGTGTTGGGGCCAATTTTCAGGCAGATCAGATCCAACATCTTCAGGTTTTAGTGCGTCCGGCACCTGGAAGGTCTAACAGGTCTCCACTGGAATATACTGTATATACCCAGCCCACGACTCGTGGATCTCCATGCACCGTTTGAAGGTCCACGGTTTCATGCTTCACCCCATTCATTCGTGACGCGTGGCCACTGCGTCACACGCGTCACGCCAGTCCTGGATGCTGGGCTACACCTGGGGAGCTCGTCGTGGCAAGGGCCGCAAGCAGCTGTCAGCGCCGCTGATGGCCGTTTAGGACGCCATGATGGCCCTCCATGGCAGTTCCGGAAGAAGAAGAAGAACCGTCGTTTTCATGGGGGTTACAGGGGTTTGAATGACCATGTTCTACCACAGAACCAATTGTTTTACTGAACTTTAGACAAAACCAGATGAAGGCCAGGGAGTTGGGGCTGCCACGGGCCGTGTAGAAGACTGAGAGATGCAGTGGATGGAACCGCAAGAGAAATGACACGAGTCGGATTGTACCTGGAGTCTCAATACGTACCTTTGGGAAATGGGACATGATGGGACATGACCGGATAACAACTGCAAAGAATTCATACAATTTCATCCAGTTTTCGGAGTTCTGAACTGAGACTCCAGGCTAGCTTTGGACTTGGAAAGAAGGATTTCATTGGGATGTTCATTTTTTAGATTTGAACCGCCCCAAGTAGTGCCTATCGGCCCACAGATCTGGTTTGGCTTCGAACACGGTCGGTCGCTGTCGAGCTTCGTCGGCTCCACCCCAAAAAAAGGGATCGGACCATGTCCTGACCAGGAAGAGTGGATATCCTGAGGAACCTTTTCGGGGGGGCATTGGGCTTTCGGAAATGGCTCGGCAGTCAGATGTACAAGCCCAGACACGACCTGTTTAACGACTTTGGGACTGGCAGATTCCGATCAGTTGGGGTTGATTGATCGGCATGACCCGCCAGTCCCAGACAGCTTGTATATCAGTAACTGTTGACTGTTGACCATCAACGACTGCTCCCTGCACTCTCTCAGCACCCGAATCCGAGCTCGGGCCCGACCTCGAACAGGGGGAGCGGACCCTCCACCGAAACGCGGGGGTTTGGACCCGGTTCCCAAACCCGGAATGTGTTGGTTCGGGCTCGGATTCTCAGGGAACAGTTTTGTTGCGAAGCGTGAGTGGGCACAAGGGTGCCAATCTTGGCTTCACATGACCGTCTGCCAGCAGAAGAGGGGCAAGACCCAAAGACATGCTGGGGACCATGCTTCAAAAAGCTGTTGCTGCATTCCTTGAGCTGAAGGGGGCAATGCTAGGAATCAGTAAAAATAAAACCATGTAATTTTAAAACAGTGCACAATTAGTATTTTTGCTTAGAGTGATCGATTGGGATCCAAGAGCCTCCTGAACCCTGGCGCTTTGTCCTGCACCAAACTGCTCGCAGTTTTGCGTCGCTGGCCACGGCCATGGCCATTGGCTTCCAAAGGGAAGACCGCAGCGGCGCCGAAAAACGGCCGACCGAGCGTCGACTCACCGACCGGCGTGATCCCGAATGGGATGGACCGATGAAGACGCCCGGGGGTGGCCACTGTCGGATCTGGGGAATGCCGAACGGCGACGCGAAGAGGTGCCTGGGTGATCCGAAAGCACATCGCAAAACCCCTTGTTTTTGTTCAGCCCCATCAGTGATTAATATTGGAATCCCATGATTTTCCATGGTCTCTACCACCAAACCACCATGGTGATTTCACTAATCCGATTTCACTAAAAACCTAGCGCCTGAACGAAGGGTCGTAACGGAAGGCGAGATCTTGTCGGGTACAGGGGACTGGCATCAGAAGACCGGACAGAAACTTGAAACAGGGCTATTTCTTTTTTTTGAAGGGAGTGGAATGTGGTAGGATGTCGTAGGTCTATAATAGGGGGCCGTCTCACCCAAGACTTTCTCCGGGTGCCAGCCTCTACAACGGGATATCTAGAATGCCAGGCCATGTTTGTCTCATTGGACCAGCCGTGGAACGCATCGCTCCGACTGGCTGGGACGAGTGGTGGATGGGACTCACATCTCATCCATGACCACCCAATTCCTGGGAACTCCGAACTGTCACGGACGGGAGACGGTCGGTGCACGGACGTCTGGTCCAGTGGAGGTAGGAGTCGACCCGGTTCCACGTACTTCAGAAAAGAGCTACAAGTATCATCAAGTATATACCCGGTTTTGGTAGGGTCCCATTTTCTATGGTGCTTCCAAGGTTGGGTCCAGGTAGAGGGGAATGGGACCCCAGACTTCGAAAGGGCGCTTCAGGCAAGGGTATTTTTTGGGATGTTTTTGGTCAAAGCTCACCAGGTACCCAGGAACTCCGACAGACCTGCCAACCCGCCAATTCCAAGCGCTGCTCACCACAGAGCCAGACCCGTGCCGTGGTCGGCTGAACCCACCGGCCGAGCGACCGGTCTTCGACCTGCGGACCGACCGGCCTTTTGAATCTATGTCTCCCGTGGGTCGATCGCGACGTCTTCGTTCGGAGAAGGCGCCGAAATCGCTGTGAGGTCCTGTAAATCGATTTGAGGAAAGCACCAGTTGATCTCTAATCCCCAAACCATCCCTTAACTAGGAATTAGTTCGACCTGTGTGGTGCCCGGCACGGAGTCTCCGGTACAGTCACGGACCTCCGCCCGTTTCAACCAATTGACCGGTCAATACCTGGAGTCTCGTATATCCCGCAGAAAATGGGTACAGTCGTACCATGTCGTAGCTGTTTTGTAGGGTCACGTCATGTCCCATTTTCCCAGGACCTTCCAAGAGGCGTCTATAAATAGCCTCTTAGAGGTTAAGAGGTGTCCAAAAACCACCTGTTGGAAGGTGCTGGTCTAAGGTACTTGAAGTCGGGTCAAGGTATGCCAGTCCCATGGATTGTTTGGATCATTGTCGGCCGTGGTGCACGAATCTCCTCTCTCATTGCTCAGGCTCTAACCAACACAACGTTGGGGGTTGAACTCCAATCCCTTCAGAAGACACCTACCCAATCAAAATGGACAATGTAGACTCTTGATTCATCAAGCGTCCCATAATGTACGGAGGTATAATGTACGGAGGTTGTCTAATCTCTAATCCAAATCGAGAGTGTTCATTGATCAAGATGAACCAACCTCAGCGCTGTGATCCGCACGACTCGCGAACACCGTCCTCTTCGCGTCTCGTCTCCGGCATTTCAATGGCCGGACCACGCGTCGAACGCGAGGAAAGCGCGCGAGACGCGAGACGCGAGACGGAGGCAACCCAAAGAAAAAGCGGAGCGTCTCTTTCTTTGTGGATGCAGGTGATTGGTGGCAGATGTTCGAACATCGGAAGTTCGGTTTTCCAGTGCATCCGTTAGTGAAATCAAATGAAGCGAAAGGGCACGGACGCGCGTTTACTCTGCAGATTCCTGCAGTTGACTCAAGGAAGCTCAAGGATTTGTCCTATTGAAAGAGAAAATATCCTGGAAATAGGACATCCTGGAAAATCTCGGGGGTCATTTGTCCATTGATCACCGTTTCTCCATGATACGCGGGGTGGTGGATGTCCGGGGTCAATTGATCTCTTTCAGTCTGAGTAGGAGGCCGACTCCCTCGGACCATTCCGATGGTCGACCGAGCCATTCCACCTCGAAAACGACCGAGCCAAAATCGGACGTCCGAAAGCCCGGGCCGGTCCAGACCAGATGACGTGAGATTTCAGTGCTCCGAAGAAGAGAAGGAAGCGTCGACCCTCACGGTCAAGTTGTCCAAATCTCCATGATAAAGTGACAATGATGCATTCCCCATTTAGGACCCTAATAACTATTCCAGATGCTTTTGGTTTGCTCGATGATTTACGAACTTCGTCTGGCAAAACGCTTTCCCTTGGACAAGTGCTGTCCTCACCGCCCTCACCGCAAGGAAATACCTTCAACGCCTTGACCACCAAGCGTATACAACAAACCGGAGTGCAGCGAAAGTCTAGAAGAAATCCTGGTATGTCCTACAGAGGTTAAGTGACCTGAACTAGGACCCGTCACCAGGGGTACCTATGGGATAGTCTATAAGGTCCTTTAACCTCTGTTTCAGCATATTTCAGCATATTTCAGCTTGTTCATCATACTTTCAGTCTGCGTGTTCGGGGTTGATGTAGAGCAAAAATAGCTTCGATGATTATATAATTATCAGTGTTTTGTTAGGACGTATTCACCACTTGACTGGCCACCAGACACATCGTTTCCTGCAAACATCTGCGATGTTTAATGAGCCAGAGAGATGACGGAGCGAGGATTGCCACCTATTTCAAGGACGACATGGGGAATCAACTCCAGTTGATGCCAGTGGCTTTATCCACGCAGATCTTCTTGACAGGAGACCTGGCGTTTTGTTTTTCACCGACCGGTGTTACCAGTGCTATGTATTTTTGATGTCTTTGGGGTCAATGATTGTGTATATGCAGGTATTAGTGTAGAACTGGCCAAAGGACCAGAGGTCTCAAGATGGCCCAGCATAATATGCAAAACAGATGCAATACATGCTGCCGAACTTGAAGGTTGGTTTGATGGATGAAAAGGCAGAACAATTGCACTTGGCTGGAAGATCTAGGGATCATTTGTTGAAACGGTTTTTGGCAGTTCATTGTTTGTTGGTTGGAGTCGATCTCCACAGTTCACTGCGGAGCAGCCAAGATCCATCAAGATCCAACACTTGGGTTTCCAAGCATCCTATTCCCTAGCCATTGCAAAAGTTTTCTTTTTTTATGGGTGGAGTGGACCTGATTTTGTAGTATAAAGTCATAAAGTCATATAATATATGTACCGACTGTTAAATCTTTAGTACAATGGTTGCTGGGGATTCCAACCATCAATGGTGGCCAGGAAACCTATATATAGAGTTACGCTGCCCCTCGTGATTTGCCTGGTGGACCAGGATTTGCTCGCAGCAATGCGATGCTCGCTCGAGGAGGAATGGCGCACACCTTGACGGGGTGTTTGAAGATCTTGGTGAGCCTTCTGTGGAGTCTTGGCCAAGACCCTGGAAATTGGGTTTGAGAGAGAGGGAACACGTTTTTCTTTTGCTGGAGTTTTGGCCTCCAACTCCAAGTCCTTTAATTAGTCTTGGTGAAGCAGCCCGGAGAGCCAAGTCAAAAGGTGAGATGTGCAGAGTCTGCGCAAATGCAGCGCTATCGTGGTGGTCAGGGAAATTGAATGGTTGAATGCTGTTAGTAGGTCGACTGAGGCAAGCATTCCTGATTCCTAGCCACTGGCAAAACTCGCCCATACGCAGAG